CTTTTGGCGAGTGTATGTTTGTGTTTGTGGTGGAGGAATGTGTTTATTCCTCTACCTCCTGTAAATAAAAGTGTCGGTATGAGCATTATATTCTGCCAGAAGAGTTCAACATGTTTCCAATTACATATCTTAAATTTACTCACAGCGGCGCTTGATCTCTGCTGTTCTTGCAGATATTATACCAAGTTTGTTTACGTGCACAATAAGAATTTGATCATAACCAAATACGAGGCTTGTCGGTTTATGTGGGACCTCTACAGTATAGTGCGCCTTTTGTCTGATTTCTTTCACCGGTTTGATTCCGAACAGAAAGCTCATGGGGTACAGTTGATGCAAATGGGTTTTTTTATTTTTAAAAACAGCGTCATGGTGTGGTGGATGAAAAAGAAAACACCAAAAATTATTTTGGGATGACAACCAAACAGCTTTGTCACAGCTAACACGAAGTAAAATAGAGATATTATTTTTATTAAGGTGCTCTGTGAATTTATTAAAGAAAACACCAACTCAATCTATCCATGTTCTTCTTGTTTGTCCTTACAGACATTATCCTGACCATCAAACACATCACATAAACTTTTAGGTTATCTGTGTAATCCGGTTACTGCCAACCAGTAAACACTGGAATTAAACTATTACTTTAATCTGATCATTCCGGTTTTACTGGTTTCGTTCTCAATTTGATGAAAGCTGACAAATTTGTAGCTCATCACCTTTCATAGGTGCACCTGTGAAAATGTCAGGACGGGTGAGTCAGAGATGAGGAGGGGTGAGACTAAACAAAGTAAAAAAAAATTATTTTTTGTGATCTCAAGACTCACACAAACACACAGCAGACAAATTGTTTGTTATAGCCTTGCTTCAGAGCTCTTATGTGAGCACGGTAATGACCGCTTCACCTCCCACCCTCCTCACGCTCGTATTTTTCCTCTCTCTCCTTCTCTGTCGTCTCCTCATTCCCCCTCCCCCTTTCCCCTAGTGCTCGCGCCAAGTCGGCCCGCCATCCCGCCTCCACACACACACACACATGCTTCGAGGTAACGGCAGACAGGCGCGTGACTCATTAGGCATTCGTCCCCCAGGGAGATCGCTGGGGGGGCGCGTGCGAGGGAGAGAGAGCGCCGCAGCTGCAGGAATGTCACGGGCGGCTACCGCTGTGTGTGTGTGCGTGTGTGT